CGTGATGGTAAGTAGAAAGCGAGAATTGTTAGAAATGATATGCCAACACAAGGGAACACCAAATTGACCGTATAAAATAGCGGTTTACGACGCAGCTCCAAGTAATACTGGAAAAAATTTCTCAGATTATTTTTTCTGCAAATTGACTAGAAACATACTTTCAGGACAGGAGGATGTTTGGCAAATAGGCGCCACCTAGAAACAGAGAAATTCCGTAGTAAAATCCGAATAATCTAGACATTAATATGTAAAAATAAGGACTACCATGATATCAATATAGGCTTCATTTGGACAACAAGTTGGATAGTTTTTGGTACGCCGCTTCGCAATTCGTGACATAATATCCCATTCCACTGATGGATAATAATCGGACAAATCTGCAAGGACAAATCTCCAAAAAAAATTCCAAATATTACAAAGCATCGAACGCCAAATATTCTACGGCTTGCCAAGATAACAAACAAGGATACTTTCATAAATATGATAGCGAAAAAGTATAGAAGAGTTCTCTACAATCTACAGTCATACGTTACGTCTAAGTAGGGTCGGTGGCAAAGGGGCACGGAGGAGGGGAGGCAAAGGGTGTTTCGCCCTTTGGAAGTGTAGAAACTGAGGAAAACTTTGCTCGACATTCCGTGTCTTTCCCTCTCCTTTCCCCCTCCTCCCAGGAGCCCCATTTTCTCTCCCCCTCCCCTTCGCCCCCTGGTCGACGCCGGTAGGACGGACGAATGAGGGGAAGAGGGGGAGGGAGGAGAAGGGGAAAATCGTCCAAACTACCCTCTCCTAGGGAAACAGGCTGGATCCGCCCATGGTTATGAAACACCCTGAATGGCATTAGTGGAGCTATGTCAAATCCTGGGTAGCACTAATGATCAGAAATGAAACCGATTCCATCTTCGACGATTGTAATATTATCCAGCTCGCCATGTTCGTTAATCTCCAGCTCATAACGCGGCTCGCCATCTAGAAGTTCCAAATCGAGTAATTTATCCGAATATGTCCATGAACCAAACTGAAGCAAATACTCGCGATTTAGATTACAACGGTATTTAAAAACATTAAATAGCGGCAAGCACTAGGAAAGCCGGTGCGATCACGTGTATTGCTCAGTTCTGCCCGGCAGGTGGTTGCTGTTAGGAATATTCACTGCTTTACCGGTTTGGTATATGCAAAAAAACGAGATTTCATTATCCATGCGTGAAACCTACGTGTCCATGCGAACTAGATTTGAAATTGCAGGTTTGCACATGAACAGAAAATATTCTCCAAACATTTCCCTGCATAAAACTATATGTGTGTACGTAAGCTGAATTTGAAGCTCCAAAGCTGAGCATTTAGAGGGAAAATTATAAATTTTTAGCGTTCTATCTTGCGAGCCCCCAATGCAAAAAATTTCGCGCTAAATCTCTATTGATTGTATGTGAGACTTGGGTGCAAATGAAGGCTGAATTTAAAGCTGTGGAAATGCACATTGGCCTGAATTTTTTTTTT